TACTTTGGGGTGGGTTAGCTTTCAAAGCCTTGTGCAGTCCAACTTGAATCAATAATTCCCCGTATTTGCCACAAGCCAAATTTGAATCTCCCGTCATATTTCTCAACGTCATATTTCAACGACATATTTTTTTGTTACTCTAATACTCTGAACCACCTGACGCATTGATACCACTTGTTGGGAAATCGAAAAATTTACGCCAATTTCTTTTCTTCCTATTGCCCGCAGGATCTTTTGTTATTCAGAAAAATATTAGCAAATAAAGAAAACTAAATAATATAACGCACAATTGGGCCGTCAAAACTTTTTGACTATATGAAAAATTGTTATAATCATATAGAATTCACTCATCAACCTAATCTCAAAGTATTACAAAAAAAAAACTTCAATGGCCTAGAACCTTTTTCTTCTCTTCAAGTTATAATTTTTCTCTTATGGATGAGATAATTAAAAGAGGAGAAGAGACATCTATTTATAGAGGCTAAAGGAGGTGGAAGTAGAGATTTTAATTCTAAATTCTCCTCTTTCTTTGACTTTTCAAGTCTTAACCAAGAAGAAAGAATGTCAATTATCCTTTAAACTACCAATTTGGATTAAATGAGGCAATTATCTAACAAACGATGCAAAGAAGAGAGTCAGACATTGAATATATTTAGGGGCTGGTCTATTATGGGGACAATGGGGTCAGCTGCACCAAATTTATTTTCAAATTTTGGTCAATAAATTAAATAAATTTTAGTTATATGATTTTATAAAATTTTGTACTTCGAATTGTTAGGACCAAAGGATAGTATAGTATTTTGATGATAATAAAAATTTTCATACTTTTACCATCACTTTTCTCCTCTCCAATTTTCCACCTTCCAAGCTTTCATTGTATTCTTTCTTTTTGCCCATTCTCAAATACCGTGTAAACTCTAAAATAAGAAAAAGAGGAAAAGTTTTGAAGTTTGAATTTTATAGAATAAACAAAGCTATAGGAAGAAAAACTTACGTAATTTGAAGTTTGAAGAAAGAACAGGATATAGAGAAATGTTTGGTGAATCGTGACGGGGAGTTTTCTTTTTCATTCTCTTTTGCTAAATTAAAGGATTACTTTTTTTTTTTTTTTTGGGTCAGAAAATAATTGTGTTTTTGAGGTTTAAAATTTTGGGATTTTTGATTTCGCTTAAAATGCAGATTTTTTAATCTTTTTTCCCCCTTTTTTTGTCATAAACAATCGAAACAAAACCATCAGCCAATTATTTGAGTTATTTAGATACAATGCATATTGCAAAGCCTACTGATTTGTCTTGGTCCTTGTTTGAACTCCATTGTAGAAAGAAAAAAAGGAATTTTTTTCTTTCTATTTTTAATCACATTCTTTAATAACATAATATTAAGTGTAAATTCAAATTTTTTAATAAATGCACTTCACTTTAATAACATAATATTTATAAAATGAAGTGCATTTATTTTATTCATCCCCCATTCTGTAAAAAAGACGATGGATATGACATATTAATGTTTTATTGAAGTACTTTTTTGAACAGTATAATCTTTAATGTCGATTTTTTATAATGTTGGAACTATAATTTATATTATCATTTTGTACAATCCTAACCCCACCCTTGAATATATTAACACATTCTGTACACATCGATGGTTGTAATAGTAAGTGGTACTCATGTTCAAGCATATATTACTTGAGCATATTTGATGTTGCGAGAAGCGTAGAAAAACGAAGATCACAATGACTTTAATAACATGAAGAATAGAGAATATTTACAAATTTATGAAATTGTTTTTTGTAACTGTCCAATGACAACATGTCACGTGGCATGTTGTTAACAATATTGTCATATTATACACCAAGCACGATTGTTTATAGAAACTTTTTTAAAGCATAACTCATAAGGTTTAGGAAACCATCATACAAACCATCTTGTGACTGTTTATAACGGTCATTGAATGGCTAAAATTGGCTTGATCATATTTTATTTGTAGATAAAGATTGTTTTATGGTAATTCCTTATGTGTGTATATATAATTAAGTTTCAATGTAAAAAGAATTGTAAAAGATAAAAATTAGGTAGAGACTTATCCTTCTAAACCACTAAAACTTTATTAGAGCGTCTCTCATAATGTTCTTTATTTTAAGGATTATGAGCTTGTTTGGGAGGGATTAAAATCAGATTAAAATTGAAAATATAGTCGTTAGAGTTGACTTTTATTAGACGGGTGTGACCAAATAACGGCTATATTTTCAATTTTAATTGAATTTTAATCATTGCCAAACAAGCTCTATATATATATAAAAAAAAAAACAGTGAGAATTTTTATGCAAATTCAGCAACACTTTTTACATGTTATATTTATTTTCATTTTTCTATAAGCAATTATGATTTGAATTTTTCCTTCATTTTTTACCTAGCTTCCTCTTTTTTGAAAAAAAAAAAAATCATTATTTTCCTCTATTTTGAAAATTACACATGTAAAGTTGTGAAATAATAAAAGAATGCATTAAAAGTATTAATCAAATGAGAGGATTCAATTCTCTACTTTTGAAAACTCAAATCCATTATTTATTTTTAAAATACAGAAAATTATTAATGTAAATTTTTAGGGCTAGATGCATCGCATTAGAATACACGATTTAGGGTCATTCCCAAAATAATGTAAAGAAAATGAACATTTTGTAAGAATTTTTAATCGATCATGTGGGCTTATATATGAATTATTGTATATTAAATTAAATGTTATCAATTTCGGTTAAACCCGTTTAAAATGATCTAATAAGGTTTTGATATTTTGAACTTTGAAACATCTAGAGGGTGTTTGGTGGAGATTAAAATTTGATTTTTAGTAGATTGTGATAGAAGTTTTTGAAATGTGTGGTTGAAAAGTTGTGGGACCCATGAAAAATGTGGATAATATTGATTGTTTGGCTTTAACTTGAATTAAAATCAGATTTTAATCTTAACCACACAAGACCCTAATTAAAGTGCGAGCTTTTATGTGTAGAGACCAGGTCTGTTCCTAATTTCATGATGAGCAGAATTAGGTTAACATGTCATTAGTGTGTGTGTGTGTGTGTACAGTTATGGTCCTTGGATTACACATGAACAACGTGTTCATTCTGTTCTGATTCCCATTATCAGAGATAAATAAAAGAACAACGTGTTGATCTGAAAGACTAAAACCGTATGATTCATTCATTGTATTAATCATGTCTGATTAGGTACGCTTCCGCTTCGATTTACAAATTCTTGATGATCCAATATGAAAGATCATTATGACGGTAACAAGTTTCCCAACACATTTACATTACTCAACTAGAAAAAGATTATGAGTAAACTATGTCTTTAATTCTGAAGAAAAGATTTCAAGTATACAATTCTGCAGCCATTTTGAGTGATTCATTTTTGTAGTTTTCTTTTTTATTGTATCAAGATTGACATGCATGTAAAAATGTCAGAACATTATGGGAACATGTGACGTTTGAGAAAGGGTCTGTGGGGTGAAAAGAGTTTGTGGTCCAAGACTCCAATAACGATAATAACTGCCAACCTTAAGCATCACAGTTTATGGAGAAATTAAAGAAATACAGGAGGAAAAGTGAAGAAAGAGAGTAAAATGACTAACTTCAATTTGGAGGTTTCGAAAACGAAAAACAAAGAGCCCCAAGAAAAATATATATATTAGGAAGTAGCCACCCAGAATGCAGGCTTCAAATTACACAATCCTTTAGTACCATGTCCACCTTCATTGCACCTGGTAAGCCTCTGATTTTTCTCCATTTCAAATTCTACATCCGTAGCCTCAGTCGGTTTTACATAGCATTCATCATCATCATCATCGTCGTCATCTTGTTCTGATACAATTTTTTCATTTTCTAGCTCATGATCTCCATCATTTGCATCGTTTTTGATTTTATCATCTAATTGATAGTCAGCTTCAGTTTCTTCTTCCGTGATCATTATAAGATCAGAATCAAATTTTGAGTCATAATCTTGGACAAATGACAGCCTAAGGCGGCCGTGGCTTCTTTCAGTTTGCAGATAAGAATGCCTAAATGGGGACTGGACTGCTTTGATGATTAGCCTTCCATCTTCACGGCGAGCCCTTATTTGGAGAGAACTCGATCTGCTCATCGTTGTCAAGGGCGGTGGAAAATTGTGACAACAAGTCGTCATCTTATTATTTCTTAAAGATTTCATCTGTCGATGCACCTTTTGATTTTGCTGATTCATTGGAGATGAAGTTTCACACTGAGAACTGAATGTGTCCAGTGAGAAAATACAGGTGCTGCCTGTGATACATTCAGTACCTGTTTCACTTCCCAAATTTTCAGTACAAAGATCCAGGCTTTTCCCAGTTAGTTTTGGAAATGAAGATTTTCTATGAACATATGAGTTTTCCTTTTCCATTGCTTCTTTAGGACACGTTGGAATCTTGGAAAGGCTCTGGAGGAAACTCCAACTGCCTATTTCAAGATTTTCATTTTTTCTTTGATCACTTCTTGCGCTGCAGGAGCCCTCGCCCACGTCTACCTTTGTTGGTGCAGGCGCCATTTTCATCTTTAGGATTGTTGTCTCTGTCACTTGAGACTCAAAACATGACACCAGACTTTGATAAACTACTGTCGACATGGAAAAATAGGCCTAAATATGATCGACACTTGAATGAAAAATTAGAGAATTTATGGGTTGAGGAAGAGGAAGAACAAATATATATAGACAGAGAGACGATGAGGAGAAGTGGAGAGAAGATTGAATGAGGAACAAGTGAAGGGTTGGGTGTGAATTTGTAGTGTCCAAAAGTAGATGTATTGAGAGATCTTTTGTTTTTTGTGTGTGTGTTGTCTATATTGTAGGGGCCAAGGGAAAGGGTTTGCCTTTTGCACCACTTGGATTATACAAATATTATTCTGTCACACACTAGAAAAGAAAAGAAAATATTTTCTATTTCCAATGACTAGAGAAATTGGTTTACCAGCAAATTTAGTCGTCATCATTAATGAGCTCAACTGAATAAAAAAAATGTGATGATGAGTACGTGTCCTCGGGTACAATAAATTCACATATGTAGTATGAGAGGGGACACATGGATTTTTGCTAGAGTCGGGCCAAAATGTTACCAACATGGAATTAGCCACTTGTATCGAACTGGGTTGACATAATTTATACATATAACTCACATGAGTGGGTTCCGCATGTAATAAAAAATTGTCCAAAAAATCCCACCCCCACCCCTATTGTGAGGTGCCGGTGGGGGTTCGGTCAACCCCCACCCGGTACTCCAAGCTCGATTCTACCAGCATTGTTGTTCCTTCTATTTCCACGGGGATGCTAAGTGATGGTTTGTCGCTCATTAATTTATTTTATGATTTGTTATAGGATCATTTTCACACACACATTCAAACAATAAAATATTTTACACATATATCAAAAAAATTTATTTACTTTTTTTAACCACACATTCTCTTAATAATTACTATTCAGAACTTTTTTTTCTACAATAGTGATTATCAAACATGCTATAATTAACGTGTATACATTGACCGGCCGACTGAAATAATAAGGTCACATGCAGATGTGTTGAGTGTGAAAGTTACTAGTTTAACCCTAAAATCACATAATAAGTGAATAAGACAGAATTAAATTTATCAATTAAAAGCAACAAGTCACTTTTTAATTGTTCTAGATGTTTAATCTATCAAGTCAAGTTACCCTATGTTGAATTGCCGCAACAAATAATTAAAGCCGTAAATAACACAAGATTTGATGACGGAAAAAAATTTTAACCGGTAAAAACTTTGGGATCAAGTCAGTAGTTTTCACTATAGACAATAAGAACTTACATTATGATTCCGCCTAGAAAATTCACTAGACTCGTTGATCTGATTCCTGCAATCTCTAAGACCCGCTGGAACGTGCTTCACTCACACCAGCTCCCGATCTTCTAGAATTGTCTATCTCGTGTGGAATACCAAGAACACCTCATTCTTGTACCCTTCCTGTACTTCTAGTCCAACCTTCCTCAATCTTTAATAACCTCTAAAAGCTATTGAGAAAGTAACTTCTTGATGATATCTAGGAAGTGGGTGTTTTGAATTATAAGAATTCGATATTTTTTCCAAACTTGTGGTCGATTGATTTCATGAATCAAAATGTTAATTTAAATATTTGGATGCGTTCTTGGATCTTGGAACAATGATATAGGAAGTAAAACAATGGGTGTATTGGGCATCGAGTATTTATAATATGAGGAGTTTATGTAGTATAGGATAAATAAAACTCTTGAAAAACGTAAACTTGGGTTTCTCGATAAATACTGTCGCTCGAGCGCTAGACGAACGAGAGGTGCGTCGCTCTAGCGAGAGTCTAGCGACAGTGATTCCGCTTTGGAAGCTCGAGCATCAACTAGACGACGGTCTAGCGTAAATCCAGCGACTCTTTCTTCTTGTTCCTTACTCGATCCCACATACTTCCTAATTTATCTATACAACCCTCCAAAAGACTTATTAACTTTTACAACTTTTTGTAATAATCTTATTCTTTTACAATAATTATTTTGTCTAAAAAATTGTCAATACAACTAAAAACCTAATAGAGTGAAGTTTCAAATTGAGTCTCCACATGCGGGTGTGTTGAGTGTTGGTGCGGAAGTCTCAAATTGAGTTTTCACACACGGGTGTGTTGAGCGTTTTCCTGTGGAAGTCTCAAATCGAATTTAAAGTAAAATATGAAACTGAGAGCATATATAATTAAGTAATATGTTGTTACAAATTCGACTACCGCAATAAAAAAAACAAAGAAAAATAATAGAAAATAAAA